ACTACACCATTTAGTCATCTTCATGTAGCCAAGACTTTGTTGATCAGGTACCTGGGATCAAAACAAACTGGCACCATTGCTTACTATGTACTTTTATAATAAATAGGACTTTATTGATCCCACAGTGGGGAAATTTGTGCGTTACCACAGCTCTAGACAGATACTCTTGTACTCTTTTCAGGCTAATACCAAGAATATAAAAATACAAGAATAAGAATATAAAATAATAAAAAAAATAAAACACTAAATACAGCAGTAGTGCCTATGTACTCCCATATACAGTATGTAATATGGTTAGTGGGTTGTGGGAAAAATGCAAGTAATAATAAATATCAACTATTTTACTACTACAGCTACAATTTACTATCCAGGTAGTGGGTATTGGCATGTACATATACATATAATAATACATATAATATATTATATTAATTAATAGCATAATGTTTCTGCAAGTGTTCAAAAATGCATTACTTTGCTATACTTTGATGTCAAATTACAAACTTAACAAAAATCTGACATATTTACAATATACATTAAAATAAAGATGAGTATAATGGCAAAACAAATATATAATAAATAATTTATTTGCCATGAATTAAGTTTATGATATTTGAAGAAATGTGTGATCATGCCCCAGTCAGTGAAAGTGTATTTCCTACCCCTAGACCCCAGAGGGTTAACCCTAACCCTATCCTCAGTTTGTGAACCCTTACCCTAATTTGGGGTCTTGGAGTGATACAACAGACTGTTGCAAAGTAGGAAACATGCTGCTAAAGCATGTTAAATTGGGGTTTCCCATCCTACGTGGGGCAAAGAACTATCATAAAAACACATTTTGATGCCTGAACATGCCAAACTTTTTCTAACCCTAAGCCTAGCCTAATTTGGGGCATTAGGGTGAAACAACAGGCTGTTGGAAAGCAAGAAATATGCAGGCATTATGAACAATGGCAGCAATAACTTTTCCTACTGTTACCATTTATATGCCAGTTATGATTTTTTCTGACCTACTACCTAGGGAACAACAAATAATTGAGAATCATCAATTCCCATATTCTGAAACATGGAAACTGCCTGCATGAGATAAAAGGGCTCAAATTTGCCCTGAGGGACAAAATTCACTGGACCAAGGAAACAGCCAAATCAATTTTACAATATTGGCTTCAACAGTTTCTTAGTTTAAGAAACATTTTTGTTAAAAGCATCCGAAAATATTCAGTGGCAAACATACTGTATGCCATAACAGGAAATCAGGAAGGGTACATGTTTTTTATGGCATTGAATCTGAACATACACGTACAAGCTAAATGGATATCGTGTCCCAAAAAAAAAAAAACTAAGACGAGCAACTTATCGTTTAATATCTATTTATAGCATGGTTTCGTCAATTTTTTGGGTATGGTCCTTAGAAAGCTTAAATCGTGATTCAATCTGCTGTAGGTCTTGCAAGCGGTGGTGACTTCACAGCCGCCTCACAGTATGCCAGCCATCGGCGATTCCACTACAACGGGCACGCAGTAGTTTATTTCCTAAAATAAAAGGAGCAGTCAGCGATGTACAGCCTCTCCTCAAATTACACAGCGCCAAATCCAACTGGATTCTCAATAGAATTGTACATCGCGCAATACAGAGGTGTGTAAAAGAAAGAATATTCAAAATATATAATACAGAATTAAACAAACAAAACTTCCCTGTTAACTTACAACCAAATTAGATGTAATTAGAAATTATATCTAAACGCTGTTTAGTCCTGCGTAACTATAATTTACATGCAAAACACCATGTTAAACAATCTCTAGAACATAATTCATAACCTAACTAAAATAAACGGAGCAGTCAGCGACATGCAGCCTCTCCTCAAATTACACGTAATCGCGGGAAAAATAAAAGTTCCTTTTCGATATATAAAGCTATAACGTGGGGGATATAATCAACACTACTAAAGGAGATTTTATTCCAATAATTTAAACAGTATTTACAAATTATCAAAGAGAGCTGAATTGCACGTCTTACCAGCGTCAAATCCAAGCAGATTCTGACGGGAATTGGCGCTGAAACTCAAAAAAATAAATAAAATAAAATGCGTCGCTGATTGCCGTCACACCAACAACACTCAAGTAGGCCCCTTTGTGGCGGAAACAAAAAATACAGACTAAACCAACGCAATACATATGCAAGTATAAACAGTCACAAATAATACACGTGTCATAAATAATAAGTACATTTAAAATAAAATAAAAAGAACCGGAGGAGCCAGACAACTACATGGCTACACCTGCGCCGCTTCAGCCGTAAGTTGCTACCATTTAGATTTGCGATGTAAACCAGCCAAATTTCACAGGTATACCAGGCAACCTCACATATCGCTTATTTCAATGCTGAATATGTAACAGCAACAGTGAAATTAACAATCATTACGGTGAAATATTTTTAAAACATTACCAAGCCAACTTTCCAGCACTGTCCCGCAAACGTGCCAGCTGTGGCTACCCAAATACACGGTCTCTGCCGTAAAATGCTGCTGTTTACGTCACTTTGCGTTGTCGTCTTCCGATCGCCGGTCAAATGGGGCAAGGCTGCCTGGCATCCCTGCTTATTACATTGTAACCGTGACATCAATAACTTTAGTTTGTCACCGAGGGGCAAATGGACCCTAACAGAATCATCCAAGCTCTTAAGGGCACGATCGACCCTAATCTCAGAATAGCCGCGGAAAATGAACTCAACCAGGTAGGTGAGCCGTAGGTCCGTGACAACTTTGTTTTTGTTTGGGGGAGGCTGGCTTTCCCTGCGCGGAAATGCGGGCCGTGTCGCCTCGGTTCGACGCGGTTCTGACACCTGTGAGTGCTGGTCGGGTCGCTCTTTTGTTTCCTCGTGCTTATTCTCTGCAGTCTTTTGTCGTTTTATTCAGAAATGTTACGCAGGTGGCTGAAATTGTTCGGTACTGTGAAAAACAGTCTTTACCGTGCATATAGGACAACGACTGTGAAATTAACAATCTTTATGCTGAATATGTGACAGCAACGTTGAAATTAACAATCCTTACAGTGAATATGGAATAACAACTGCGATTAACAATATTTACATTGCGTATGAGACAGTAACTCTGAAATAAAAAAATTTCCTCTATATGGGGAGGTAACTGTGAAATTATCAATCTTTACACTGTATATGGTGAAGTAAATCAGATTAACACTATATGGGACAGCAAATGTGAAATTAATATTTACATTGTATGTGGGACAGTAATTGAAATGATCAGTTTTTACACTGCTTATTGGACAGTAAATGTGAAATAAAAATATTTTGCACTATATATGGGACAGAGTGTAAAACTGATGGGAAACAGATCTATCTTTCATTGAGTAACAGCAAGCAATATTTGATGAAATTTGTGGAGCATGCCTCGTGCTACTATTTTGGTAATTTTGGAAGAACTGAGCACTCACTAAGGGGAAGATTCAAGTGTCAGTGAAGAAAGTGGCATCAACAGCCATAAAATATTTTTAAAAAGGAGATTATGTGGATAAGCAAAGCAAATAGACATTAGTGGTGTAGTGGTTTTTTGTCAATAAAAAGTGCAAAACACGACAGAGTGGTGCTGTATACTGCCAACTCTGCCAAAAACATGCCAATTACAACTGGAAATACTGCAAACTACTTATACGCCAGTTATGGTCCACTGAATGGTCGGAGGACTGTAAACCTCTGTTCTATCTGACGTCAGCTTCCACAGCTGATTTTTACGGATTCCACTTTGTTCTACTTGAATTCTCTGACACATGCTTGAGTGTTTAACTACCTTTTTTCATAAAAAACATTTTTTTCTTGTCTGTAGGTCATATTTTGATTTTGTGAGGGGGCAGTTTGTGGCTCATTGGGTTTGGATACTTTGCCTTTGACTGGAAGGTTTAAGTCCCTCAATGAGGGCAGTTTGTGGCTCATTGGGTTAGGACACTGAACCTGTCATCGGAAAGTTACCAGTTTAAATTGTGGGTTTGGCAGAGTAATTTCACCATTAGGCCCTGAGCAAGTCCCTTAATCCCCAATTGCTCCAGAAACTGTCTGACCTGCTTTCTCAATTGTATGTCAATTTGGAGAAAAGTCTCTACTGCATAAATAAATTTTCTCATGTAAGGTAACATTATAGACTGTATACACTATAGACTGCTTTTCCTTACACCTGTGATAGAACTTCACAAAACTTGATGCACATTTAATCCCTATTTATGCATTTAAAGTATTTAATGGTAATTGTTCATGTGGTTAGCCAAAGAGATTTTCATTTTAATTACTTGTAACGTAATATAATAATAACAGATATTTATTGTCTTTTATGCCTCCCTCGACTTCCTCTTTGCAGGGTAAGCTGTCCACGTAGGGCAGCCACCTGTTGGGGCACCCAGGGGTTAAGGGCCTTGCTCAAGGACCCGCTGACGTGATGAGGCCGGGGACCTTCTGATTACAGGCACACAGGCTTAGCCCACTGAGCCACACGCTGCCCCCTTAATTTGATTTTATACAATGAATAATGCCCTTTTATTTTATTTTCTTTCAGTCCTACAAGATCATCAACTTTGCCCCCACTTTACTCCAGATCATTGTATCAGATCAGGTTGAGTTTCCTGTACGTCAAGCAGGTAAAGAACCATTCAAAGTGAAAGAATGGTGCATCTGTTTTTCAATATACCATGAAGAGTGCTGTCATACCCAGCAAATGCCTCAGCAAGATCCATAAATGTATTGGTGGCTCCATCCAGTGACAAGGTGATAAATGCCTCTTACATGTATCTCCCCTGCCCAGCTGCCATCTACTTGAAAAACATGGTGAGCCAGTACTGGCCGGACCGGGAACCTTCCCATGGGGAACTTGTGTTTCCCTTCAACATCCATGAAAACGACCGGCAGCAGATCAGGGACAACATTGTGGAGGGGGTCATTCAGTGTCCTGAGTCCATTCGGTGAGTGTTCAGTAAGCATTGCTTCAGCACTGATGGGCATAGTGTACCTGTGCAGTACATCCGCTAAGTTTTAAGGAAGCATTACTGCTGGAAACTGATGTTCTTAGTGTGTCTGAACAGTCCACCCGGTGCATGTTCAGTAAGCATTACTGCTGAACACTGATGAGCATAGTATGCCTGTGCAGTCTATCCACTGAGTGTTCAGTAGCGTTACTGCGCACTGATGTGCTGTGGGTAAGGGACATAGTGAACACTGATGTACCTTTTGCAGGGCTCCAGACTAACCTTTTCAGTGGTAGCACTGCTACTACTAGCTTTCTCAGTTGGTCACACCAGCTTTTGTGCAGATACTGTTCTTGTTACTGCTACTTGTAAAATATTTTAATCTGAATATTAGCTTTAATAACCTACCTCTCCTGGTCACTTCTTGTCTGTCTCGGGAACTCTCTTTGGCTCTCCCTCTCCACCAGTCTCCTACTCATTTATTTAATTTTATTTTGATAATCAACTATAGACTGCTTCCTTTTTTTAATGCCACAGTTTTGCGCATTTTAGCATCAGTGCACATATATGTACATACTCCCGGGTGCAGGTAAGGACAGACCAATTCAACAAGAAAAAAAGATGCATTGAAAGAAGAAGGAAAAAAAGCTTTAAATCATAATTTGTTAACACAGTACCTGTGCAGGAGCAAAACATCCTAATGATTATCATAGGCTGGTACAGATGCGTCCAAGTAAAATTTTAAATCACTCACTCTCGATAAAAAGTCGCAGTCTAGAGCCTTGAGTTCTTTGTGCTGTGAGTTTGGGTGGAGTGTGCTTGTGCAGTCCATCTGGTCAGTGTTCAGTACTGTTACTGAGCACTGATGGGAATAGTGTGTATATGCAATCCATCTGGTGAGTGTTTATAAGCATTACTGCTGAACACTGATGGGAAGAGTGTGCATGTGCAGTCCATCTGGTGAATGTTTAATAAGCATTTCTGAACACTGTTGTGCTAGTTGCATGTGCTGTGAGTAATGCTGTGCTTGCTGGTTTCATAGGGCTCAGCTGAACGTGTGCCTCCGTGTCATTATCAAGCACGACTTCCCTGGCCGCTGGACTGGTGTTGTGGACAAGATCCGGTTGTACCTGTACTCTCAGAACAGCACCAGCTGGTATGGCAGCCTGCTGGCTCTCTACCAGTTGGTCAAGACCTACGAGTGAGTGTCCTGCTCAGCCCCCCACAGAGGAACCACAGTGATATGCAGCGTCTAAGTTACATTTAATCTAATAGTTATTATTATTGAATGATAAATGAATGACATGAGTCTTGCTGCCTTTTCTTTTTACTCTACACAGAAATGTTGACCTTCAGCGTCTACAGTGATGTATTTAGTAAGCTTTGCTCTTCAGTGATCAGGAGTAGGGGAGCAAGTACTCCGCTGTCTGTGTAGTAAGTGGTGTATTCATGTGCCCTGTCTCCTAGATACAGGAAGGCAGAGGAGAGAGCCCCCCTCCTGGCGGCCATGCAGATCTTCCTGCCCCGAATTCAGCAGCAAATCACTCAGCTGCTGCCGGACGCCACTATTTTTTCTGTGCTGATCCAAAAGCAGATTCTTAAAATCTTCCATGCACTGGTGCAGGTGAGAGTATGTGAAAGTATCTGGAGGACAGCCTAGCTTATTTCATGTTAAGGGAATGAAACCCTCTTGGTACAAATTGTCATGTGTTGCATTTCTCCATTGTTTAAAAGAATATAGGTGTAAGAAATTGAGCATGCTGACATCTGCGATTTCTTTCTTGCAAAGTACTCATTGCCACTGAACCTGGTGAACAACACAGTTCTGACCCAGTGGATGGAGGTGCTCAGGGCCATCTTGGATCGAGATATCCCTCCTGTAAGAGCAAGCTCTGTAATACTTGTATAACTGAACTAGTATTGCGTATTCTATAATGTGAATGATTTCCATAAGTGACAAAACAGATTGACTAGGGATAAAATCCAAGTGAGGAATGGCTCATATAGGTTATCCTTGGCAGAGCTGTGACTGCAGGCATTATTGTAGGTATTGTTCCTGACTAAGGGCTGCTAGTGTACACATTACAGTAGGTATCATTCCTACGACTGTCCTGTGTACGTCGTTTCAGGAGACGCTAGAGGTTGATGAGGATGATCGGCCGGAGCTCGTTTGGTGGAAGTGTAAAAAATGGGCATTACACATCATTAACAGGCTGTTTGAGAGGTAAACTGCTTGGAGGGTGGAGGTCTTGGGGGATTCATTTGAGTTTGCCACTAAAGTATCACCAAACTTCATATAAAACGCATTGTAGGTACGGAAGTCCAGGCAATGTGACCAAGGAGTACTTTGAGTTTGCAGACTTCTTTCTGAAGACATATGCAGTGGGGATCCAGCAGGTATGAAGAAGCAGCTGTGTTTGTGTGTGCGTGCATGGAAAATTTGTGGTATCTTCATACAGGTATAGGAATGAAAATGTTTAGGGTTCAGATATCAGTAACTTGCTGATATCTGTAGTTTAGAGTGAGTTGTATATTAGAGTGCGAGAAAAATTGTGATATTTTTAAATTATCTGTATTACATTGATTAGGAAAAAGTATGCTCTTTTATTTCAGATTTTTTTCAACACGTTGATCCACTATGAAGTGTCTTTCATGGAGAATACATATTGGAATTACATTTAGTAACTGGTGGCACCTTCTTTAGCAAGAATGACTTTTTAAACTAATGTTTCCTTTACCTGTTGATCAGTCCTACACAAACTTCTAGGTATATCATCCACTGTATCTTTACTACAAAACCGCTTTGAGTAGTGAATATTTCTGTGGCATTATACATATGTCATTCCAAATTACAGCATTCAGCTGTTCTACTCTAGATTTACTTTTACGCTAATAATTGGGATGGTAAGATTCACCACCTCGCATTAGACCATAGACATAAAAGTTCATCATGAGATGGTCCCCATTAAAGTGTGCACTAGACATAATTTGGGATGAACTTGTGGTGCATTGTTTCTTTGCATCAGTAAAAGCTGATCAGATATATATAATATCAGATATATATAATATACTTTGTTTCAGTACTAAAGACACAAATATCCATCCATCCATCCATCTATTGGTAGAGGCTCGGCCACCAGGCGCTTGCCCACGAGCTCCCACCCCAGGCCTGTCTTCAGGATGGGGCCCCAGTCTTCTCAATTTGAGTGGGGTCACATTATCCTTTCTGTTAATCTTCATAGGGGATCTATGTAAATCGCACTTTGTCTGGCCAGTCACCAATTTTCATTGGCAACCAGGGGCAATTGCCTCAGACAACATAGCTCTTAGGATCACCGAAAGACACAAAACCCTCTGCCATGATAAGGTGGTGATTCATGGAGGGGAGACATAAATATGTGAAGTAAAAATGGTACTCTTATACTTAATTTATGATTTGTTGTCTGCGTAAGAAGACCCAAAGAAAATCAAACTATCTGTGCCATACTGAATTGCATAGCATCATATTCTTTTGCATGGCGTCATATCATGATGAACTGTATTGTGTTGAATCAAATCACACCACAGACTTGAACACATCTTGACCCATACAAGATTTAGCAGGAATGGTCGAGTTCCAAGATTTTGGTTGAGGTACAAGTTGAAAAAGATTTGACAGACCTCAAGGTCTGAATTAGTCGAGTTAAGAGGCATTTGAGTTCCAGGGTTCTATTATATATCATATCACATTAGTAGTTGCTTCATATATGTCTTTAATGTATCGGATTGTACGCAATGTATTGGCCTCAGTAATGGTTTTTGATTCCCTGGTTTATGATTGTTGTTCTGCATCATCTATTCTCTATTAAATGAATACGGGCTCTCTTCCTTCCAGATTTGCTGCTACAATCCAGAAGTAATAGTTGCATTCATGTCAATATATAGCTAGAATGAAGATTGTCCTAAATTTGTTTCACTAATTACATAAGTCAACATTTTGGGTTGTAAATATAAGTGGGCTGGGGTACGTAGTGCATGCTAACGCCATGAATACAGATGTCTGAGATGAGCTCCCTGCCTGCTCTCCCCCGGTGACACCTCCATGCAGGTTCTGCTGAAGGTGGTGGACCAGCACAGACACAGGCAGTATGTCAGTCCCCATGTCCTGCAGCAGGCGCTGAACTATCTGAACCAGGGCGTCTCCCACTCGCTCACGTGGAAGCAGATGAAGCCACACATGCAGGTCCGTGCACAGTAAGGATTCCTCATATGTGGGGGCTGTCTTGTCCCTGTCTTGTCCCTTCCTTCCTGGATAAAGACAGTAATCGGCAATCCCTGTCTGTATCTTTGTTTCACCTGTTTCACTTAAACATAACTATGAGGAATCGCACATAGCCAGAAGGTCACTGCTGTCTTCCGCATGAAGTGTATCCTTACAGCCACCTCTTTTATGGCTGCCAGGCCATCTGTCAGGAGGTCATTTTCCCACTTATGTGCTACAAGGATGAGGATGAGAAGCTCTGGCAGGAGGATCCGTATGAATACATCCGCATGAAATTCAGTAAGTATCGAAACACATTTATATTTTATTCTCGATTGCTGCTGTTTTCTCTCAGCTACCCAAAGTCTCATTGTATAACTACAATGACAAAGTCTCACCCTGTCTCGTCTTGGTGGCACAGGAAAGCAATGTAAATGTTCTGTGGGGACATGCTTGCAGCCTGTGCCTGAATTGCCTGTGATCTCTGCATTTCAGATTTGTATGACGACCATGCACTGCCTGCCACTGCTGGCCAAAGCCTCCTGTGCAAAGCAGCCCGGAAGAGGAAGGAGGTGAGAGAGCTGATGGGGTTACTGCTCCGAGATGCCAGAAGCAGAGGAATGAGAAATCATTTGATAGTTTATTTGCCATTTGCACAAGTATGAGTACAGGTACATAGGAATGTGTGAGTCTTTTAAGAAGACACACACACACACACAGAAGACACACACACACACACAGAAGACACACACACACACACAGACACACACACACAGACACACATACAGGTAAGAGTTAAGCTTGGGGTCCGAACTCAGAATCAGCCGTCCATTCAGCAACCTTTGAGCATTTTTAGCAGTGCTAATGGTCTTGGTCTATTCTGCCAAGGACAGTGTCTTTCTCATCACAGGCACAGAGGCTTAACCAACCAACCCACACACTTCCTGGGTGCTAGCTAGACAGCTATACATTCATTTTTAATTATTTAATAAAGACAATAAAAATCCACCAGCCATGAGAAACCTCACCCTGCAGTGTGACATATCTTAAGGGAATGAATCAAGTCTGTATGCTGTTGTCCCATGGATTATTCTCTGTTGCGTGTCATCAGCAGGGGCATGTATACTCTAGCACAGTGTTTCTCAACCCAGTCCTCAGCGAACCCCAGCCAGTCCACGTTTTTGCTCCCTCCCAGCCAATCAGGAACACCGAATAGCTGGTACAGGTGCGCTGGGAGCTGAGAGGAAGCAAAAACGTGGACTGGCTTGGGTTCGCTGAGGACTGGGTTGAGAAACACTGCTCAAGCAGGTTCAGGGGACCCAGCACTGTATATAGAGTTGTTGAATATGTAAAAAGATATGTAAATTTTTGTGGTGGTGTGGGGGGGGGGGCAGGGGCAGGTAGCATTTTGTCAGGTTGTCTAGAATTTCTAGGTACGCCCTTGGTCATGAGCCACTTCTACCTCTGTTAGGTTCTGCCTCAGATGATGGAATTCTGCCACCAGATCCTAATGGACCCAAACACTGACCCCCGTAGGAAGGATGGGGCATTGCATGTTATTGGTTCATTGGCTGACCTCCTACTCAAGGTAATAAACTATTTTTTGGTATATTTGTTTTTATGAAATTAAATTTTATGAATGTACAGATGACAGATTAATAGATTGATTTTATTATTCTCTTTGTTACAGAAGAGGGTTTACAAGGACCAACTGGAACTAATGCTACAGAACTATGTATTCCCCCTGCTGAACTCAAACCTGGCATACCTCCGGGCTAGGGTCAGGCAACCTCCATTTGTTTGCCTGACTAATTAACTATTTCCATCACTAGTTTTTTATTGGTCTAGTGATAGGATCAGGGCCAGTGCTAGGTCAACAGGAAGGGTCTTCAGGAACTCTATCCATGATTAAGGCGGGTACTAGTGGATGATTTCAATAAACAAATGTTTATTGAACTAGATAAAACAAATTTTTCTTGACTAGATATTTCAGCCTAGTTCATGGTCCCAGCATCTAACCATATCTCGCTTGTGGGGGGTGTTTAAAAGGGTAGTGGACCTCTGGGCCACTTTAGACATTGCAAGATGAGATATCTAAAATGGGCTTCAATGTGGCCTAGTTCATGAAAGTCTATGGTTCTGGTCTGGGTATTGGATGTGAGACGGTAAGATTAGTGATGAAAGAAAGATGCTTCATTTTATGAAAAATGTCCGGCATCCTGTCTGCTGTTCTCTTCTGCCACAGTCATGCTGGGTCCTGCATTCCTTCAGTCCCCTGCATTTCCATAATCATCTAGTCCTGTGCAATGCTGTGGAGCTGGTGAGGCAGAACCTCATTGCCGACAAAGAGATGCCAGTCAAGGTGGAGGCAGCCATTGCCCTGCAAATGCTCGTCAGCAACCAGGAACAAGGTGTGGTGCTCAGGTCCAGGAACCAAGCGCATAATCTCCCTTTCTGAGTGCATATACATGCTACTGCTGCCTGTTTGCTAAATGCACAGTTGCTCAGATTAAACAAGGTTTTAAAGGTAGGTATAATAACCATAGTTCAGGTATGATTGGTTCAAAGTTAGGTGAGTGATCTCCCTTTGTGTGTGATCTTCCAGCCAAGGTCTACATAAGACCCTACATCAGGCCTGTGATGCAGGAGCTTCTGCACATTATCAAAGAGACGGAGAATGATGATCTCACCAACGTCATCCAGAAGATGATCTGCGAGTATAACGAAGAGGTGGCAGTCATCGCTATTGACATGACACAGAACCTGGTGAGTACTTAGTGAAATCCCTAAAGAATTCACTGTCTAACTCAAATCCCCAAAGGATATGCTGTCTGGCTCAAATCCATGAAGAATATATTGTTTTCATTCAGAAGCATGCTGTTTTCATTTTATCAAAGAGTGATGAATTTTCTCCAAGAATGATGAAATATTTTGATACACTTCATGTATACATGTCACACATTCTATGCTTTTATTTCAGTCCTAAAAAACCTATCAGATAATGGCTTTTTTCCAACCCTAACTATTCTTCATCTTGTTTTTGTTTGGGGGCTCCCCTTCTGTGCTTGCATTACTATGTGTTCAGATCCTGACTATTAGACGTATTTTAGAATTTACTGATGTATGTTCTAACAGGACAGTAAAAACACATTTACTCTGCTTTACTGGACTAAGTACCGTATCATAAGGGTTAGTAAATGCAGGTGACAAGCACATTCCTCCTGCTCAACCCTCATCATTAACCGATTAACTGGTGCAGCATCATAGTGAGTTCACTTTTGTCCTAGCTTTCATTCTCTCTTTCAGTGTTTCATCTCCAAATAAAATCCATATTTCTTGCTCCCATTGGGTTGTGATGTGCCTTGCGTTGGGCTGGGAGATAAAACGATAATGACGATTATCGCAGTATAATTTTCATCAATATCAATAAGACAAGTTCTCCATAAAAATTCGATACAATTTAAGACCAAACATGTCACTGGCGACACGCTTTGCATCAAAAAATGTCAGTTTCTCTGTAACTACTTGTCAGGACTTGTGTTGGAGCACAAACACAAACACTGCTGTAAAAACAGGGGATTTAGTGAACAAATAATAGGGCAGGCAGGCAGACAACAGACAAAACCATCAAAACAACAGGACACCTCACTGGGAGAGTAGGTAAGTCCAAAGCAAGCCATTTAATAAAGGTAATCCAGCAAAATCCAAAAGAAAAATCCAGAGTAAAATCCATTCCATGAGAAATCCCAAATTCCAGTGGTGGAGTTTTTTTCAGTGCTGACTAAAATAACCTGTTCATGTTCTATCTCAGACTTGTGAAATGCGAAATGCTGTTTAGTAGCTATGGCCAAAACGATGCTTCATAAACCATTTGCAGTCATTTTTGAGCGCATGGGGCTTTTGGTTTCCTCTTCATATGCTTTGAACCCTTTTTCGAATCCAGCTCCAACTAGTGAGATCAGAAAATAGAGCACAAGGTTCCAGAAGAGTCATTTTGCCCATCACTGCTGTTTGGCAAGTGCTTGTGTTCTGACAATAAAAGTTTATAACTACAATTAACCATCTAGTTTCTTCAGCTTTAACTCCCATTTGACATTTATAAAAATTATTGATATTGACTGATATGAAAATTTCACCTGTGCAGCTAACAGGGATAGGGGGGTTCTCATTTCCAAAATATGTGTTTGCACCTGTCCTATGTAGCTTCCAATAACTGTGACAGAGTGGTCAGCTGAGATAAGAAGGTGCTGGCAGCTTTGTCAATGTCTGCATACTTCCTCATATGACCAGAAGCCATATATGCATTTTCTCTGACAGGCGGAGATCTTTAGCAAGGTCTTGCAGAGTGAGGAGTATGAAGAGAGTGAGGATAAGACTGTGATGGCCTTGGGTATCCTCAGCACCATTGACACGATCCTCACTGTCATGGAGGACCACAGAGAGGTTGGTGACACCCTCTCATTGACTTTACCAACTAGTGCAATATAACCACTTATGATATTGATGCAATATACTTTTACTTTACTGTGCTAAAGTACTGTGCATTTACTCCTGTACACATTTACTTTTCCTGTAACTTTTGGACAAAGGTACTTTAGACTCCTGTATAGAGTTTTTTTAAATCTTATTTTATTTTTATTATAATGTTTAGCAGTGCTCCAATTTGTTTTACACTTCACTTTACACTTCATTCCTATTTTTATACTTATACTGTATTCTTGTCTATGTGTGATTGTGCAATCAGAATGTGAGCAATTTCCTCTGGGATTAATAAAGTCTCCTGATTATGATTCTGATTCGGATTCTGATTCATCTCCGCAACCACAAAGGCTGATTCACAATAACCCTTCCTCATTCCACGCAGTTCTGCCATTTTCCTAAGCTCTCTGTAAATCAGTGGTTTTCAAACCTGTTCCTGGTGTCCCCCTCTCCATGCCTGAATGTTCCATTTTAGCCCACACTGCTTTTAACCTGCCACATTTATTATTAACCTATTAAGGACCATATAAGCCAGATTGAGGAAGGGTTCCATTGAAATCATTCTGGCTGGGGGGGGGGGCTGGAACAGGATTGAGAACCAGTGCTATAAATAAAATGGTGGTCTGCTTATGTTGTGCTGTGACATCTTTCTGTTCCAGATCACACAGCAGTTGGAGGGAATCTGTTTGCAAGTCATTGGCCTTGTGCTGCAGAAACCTATAATAGGTAATCAGTGGAAGCTTGTGGTGACCAGGAGGCCTTATTGAGAAGTGTGGCTGTGTGTGATCAGGAGGCCTTATTGAGAAGTGTGGCTGTGTGTGATCAGGGGGCCTTATTGAGAAGTGTGGCTGTGTGTGATCAGGGGGCCTTATTGAGAAGTGTGGCTGTGTGTTTGTATCCTGTGTAATTTCTGGTACTTAAATTGCAAGATTTCAGGATCCTGTTCATTGCAAATGTCATGGTTTTAATTATATTAGATTAATTAGATTTAATTAGATCAATTATATCGCTATTATTGATGGTGGCCTTGCCTTTTTCCTTGTTTGCAGAGTTCTATGAAGAGATCTTGTCTCTGGCCTTTGGCCTGACCTGTCAGGCTATCTCCCCCCAGATGTGGCAGCTCCTGGGGGTTCTCTATGATGTTTTCCAGCATGACTGCTTTGACTACTTTACAGGTGCTCAGCTTTGGGGTATCTATTCAGGCATGAGAGTGATATAAAATTGGTTCAGTCGTGGTTAGTAAATGAACAGCTGCCATTTTGGAGAGGGAAGAATGGGTGGGTGTTTGTTTCACGTGCCTGTATAGTCAAGCATTTTCTTTACTTTTGAGAATGTTATTGCAGGTCAGTGAGGTGCCAGGAGTTTTCACATATGCACTAAGATGGTTTTGAATCTTGGCCTTGCTGCTGTTTTCCTGACAGATATGATGCCTCTCCTGCATAATTATGTGACAGTGGATACTGACATGCTGTTGTCCAACTCCAAATACCTGGAAGTCATTTACACCATGTGTAAGAAGGTGACTGCCACTCTGTCAGACCTCCACCCTAACCATATCTCCAAACATCTGGAGATCATTTACACCATGTGAAACAATGTGACTGTCCATCTTTGTGTTGTATAGACATGGAGGTAATTAGGTTGCCCCCATGACCTTTTTCAACTTAATCGTCTTCTCAAGGTCCTCACAAGCGATGCAGGTGAGGATGCAGAATGCCATGCTGCCAAGCTGCTGGAAGTCGTCATCCTGCAGTGTCGTGGAAGGGGCATCGACCAAGTAAGACACAGTGTTATTCGGGAATATTGCCAGTGCTGTTGCCTTAACATGGATTTGAAGTCATTTGCAAAATACCCATTTTTGACAGCTGGAAACACTCATGATTAAGCCAGGAATAAGTTCAGAGAAATGTGTTTAATGTGTTTGTCTTCCCACTCCTGCTTTTGGAAGTGCCCAGTACAGGTCATGCTGGGTGACATCTCATTATGTGATGAATACAGCTGTCATGTCTGTTGTGTTGTCCCTGTTTGACTGAGCTGTTTCCCCTCCCTTCCTCTGGGGGTGTTAGTGTGTCCCCCTGTTTGTGGAGGCCGTCCTGGAGCGGCTGACGCGTGGCGTGAAGTCCAGCGAGCTGCGGACCATGTGCTTGCAGGTTGGCATCGCGGCGCTGTACTATAACCCCACCCTGCTGCTGCACACTCTGGAGAACATTCGCTTCCCACATAGCCCAGAGCCCATCACCACGCAGTTCATCAACCAATGGATGAATGACACAGAGTTCTTCCTGGGGTAGGTCCTCCACACTGCCTCGCACAATCCACCACCTCACGGACATTTAGGGAAATCTTCCTGCAAGATCGGGGGATGTGTGGTAATGATAGACTTTGTACAGACAGTCCCTGGATTAAGAACGTCCGACTTACATGCTTATGAATGGACTGCTGTCAAGCCTGTTATATTCAAAATATGAGTTAAATACAAATGGTTCGTCATAATGAATGTACTACTGCAGGTAGTGACACTGCAGGTTCAGCAGTTCAATCGATTCGAGGTACAGTACAGTACCATATGTAGTTACAGTAATAATAAAAGTATCATTATTATGCACTGTTATTTTCGGAGTTGCCTACAAATTCAACTTAAAGACAGACGATCTTGTTCATAACCTGGGGGCTGCCTATATAGAAAATAATGACAGTTTTGGTGGGTTATTGTGAGCAGAGGAACAGTTTTATACTTAGAAGTAGTATTATTGAAGTAAGACTTCTTCCTGACCTCCATGACATTGTACTCATATTCTGTTTTTTGTATAACTGAGATGTTTGTTCCCTGTAGGCTCCACAATCATACAAGGGGCATCGTTGATGAGATGTTTTCTTTGCAGATTCCAAGATTGTAAGATATGCATCATCAGTCTGAGTGTGTCGCTGGGATGTTTGTTCTCTGCAGGCTCCACGAAAATATACATCAGTCTCAGTGTGTCGCGGGGATGTTTCTGCATTCTCTGTGATCAAGATATGTGCATCATTGGCCTGATTCTGTTGGCTAGGATCTTGGTTCTCTGCAGGTTCCACAATTGTGAGATGTGCATTATCGGCCTGAGTGTGTTGCTGGGAAGTTTGTTCTCTGCAGGCGCCGCGATTGTAACATGAGCATCATTGGTCAGAGTGTGTTGCTGAGACAGATTTGTTTTCCATAGGCTCCATGATCGTAAGATGTGCATAATCGGCCTGAGTGTGCTGATGGAACTGCCCAGTCGGCCAGCTGCAGTGGAAGAGGCGGTTGCTCAGATTGTTCCGTCAATCTTGCTGCTTTTCCTGGGTCTGAAGCATGCTTATGCTTCACGGATGCTGAATAAACCGGACATTTTGGCCAGAAGACCTGTCTCGGAGGAGGATGAGAATGGTGAGCAATATTTTAAGTCATTTCGACAACAGGAGTGTCACTCTCTGATCCATACCACCTGCCCAATTTGTCTGCGCATGCACAGCATCTTCGAGCACGCATACACTGCATTGCCTTTTCTTTCAGTCCCCATCCGTTCATCCTGCCATTTTAAGGCAAACCATACTGCTTACATTTACAGCAAACTACAGTGGTTGCTTTACTGTTTAGCGACAACTGATGTTAATGTTTCTGCTGACTGAAAAACTTTTCTTTGCTTGTCATTTTCAATGTTCACCCTGGTTGTCTATTTCCATTTTTGGTCAACTCTATTACCTAAATGTATGAAATATTATCCCATATCTGAAATGTTTGCATTTCCATCAGGTGAAATTGCTGCTATGTATTTTGGTATACATATAGCGTTGGCTCACTCTGAACTGAAGTTTGTTGTATTTTGCGTTGCAGCCATATATATAATATAATTTTAGACCAAATCAGTGGGATCAGAAAAAAATCACATACATTTCTTTAGCTGTTTGTCCTATTGGCATAATCTACTGACTTTGCCGCACCATAATAGTGGCAGCCGTGAGGGACATATACAGTCACCCCATTGTGACTGGGGTACCTAACGAAACCCATAAACACACACTCATTTGCAGAATAAACCTGATGTAGTGAAAAGAAATGGCAGCATCAGGTTAGGTCCTGAAAATGTCATTGAATGACATTAAGTGATAAAAATTGGGCACCGTTGTAAAATATGCTGCAGAGGGTGATGCTGCACATACACAGACAAAGCAAGGTAAAATAGGCCCGATGGTATGGACTGTACTTTAATTGTTCCGCCAACCAGTCCCTGCAATAGGCTCTAATACCTCTATCCTGATAAGTGTTTCCTATTTTATACATTAACATATTGTGTTTTGTTACATGCTTAATTGAAAACTTGAACGTTCTAAATAAAGGGCAGAAAAAAATAAATATGAGTAAGTATCTTTTATTTGTAGAGCTTATCATTTGAAATGTAAGAAATGGGCGTTTACATGTGCTCATTTTACATTAACTATACATGTCAATCATATCGCACAGCCCTATTTGAAGATAATGGGGCCTAAACAGAAATTTTTAAGCCAATTACTCAATCATCTTGATACTAGAGAAATCAAGGACTTGGATGGTTGAGGAACATTCCAGTTTATACCAGCTGTCACTCAGCTGAGGATTGTCCTGATAACCTGATAATACATTTAAGTCCTAGTCTCTCTTGCCCACAGAGGAGATCTCTAGCGATGACGATGAGGTCAACGAGGTAAACCGCAAACGAAACATCAGTCAGCAGCCGGCCAGCTCAGCGGGTGGATTGGAGGATGATGATGAAGAGGAGGAGTACTGGGACGAGGAAGGTCTGGAGGGGACGCCCCTGGAGGAGTACAACACCCCCCTGGACTATGACAACGGGGAGGACGAGTACCAGTTTTTCACTGCTGCTCTGCTCAGTAAGACGTGCACACTAGAACTTTCTAGCAGATGTGTTTGGCAACTAGGAAAGCCATGTTTTGTTGAGGGAAAATGTATTTTTCACTGGGATATTTTATCTAACTAAACCAATGTGCTTCTGGTGTATTCATCAGGTAAAAATTACTATGTGATATTTGAAGAGACATGTATGTTCATAAAATATCCAGCAGTCAATGTCAAGGCTACTCTTCCAAGAAAAACACATCTGTTGACAAGTCATGTGCCTAAAATCAAGATAGAGCTGAAAGTGTTTCGCACGGTGTGTCTCCAGAGACTGACTCTGTTGCTTACAGGGGTACAGAACACAGATACTCAATGGTATCAGTCCCTGATGGCGCCGCTTAGTAACGACCAGAAGAAGCAACTGCAGGAGATCTACAGTGTGTCCCAGCAGAGGAGGAGTACAGGCATCAAAGGGCAGTGGTGAGAAGATCTCTGCTCACTATGTGCTCCAGATACTCTAAATTTAACGAAAATAAGTGAAATTAGATGACCAGCACTCATTACATGTGCAGAACAGCTCTTTTCTGTCTTTTCCTCAGATTAATTGTGTGGAATTGAATGATCATTGTCTTTACAGTGACTTTACAATTTGCCTTTTCTTTTTTCCCCACAGAACTTACTGAACAGTTGAATTCAGTTTGATCTTTCAGATCAGTGGGGTTTTAACGTGAGTGGATTACGGTCCTGGCCTGGCCCAGGTCTGGAGCTGCCCTTCAGACTGCTTTACCAAAACCCCCAGACCAGAGCTGAGGTGCAGAGCATCAGGAGGGTTTAGGGTTAGGGTCCTTCTTTCTTTCTGTCACTGATCAGCTGGTGCAGCCATCAGTATCTGCACTAGCGTCTGAAGAAAAGCGGTGGGCACTTCATTGTATCCACTGGGTACATCTGCCGGCGTTTGTACACGTGTGTGAGGACGTGCAGTATGTCCCTCTAATTTTCTAAGGACTGATAGGTCTGAGAGGCCCGTACCTCATCGGTGCCATGCAGGATGCAGCGAGTTTCTGCCTGTCCAACAGGACTTTAACTTGTTTTACCACACAGAGACACCCCCGGGGTGACGTTCGAAAAGCTCCCTGTGGAACTAATGGCACAAGCAGGAGTCGGACACTTTTTGTAACAGTTTCCAGTTTTCAGAATTAACTTAAATTCATAAACTCTGGTTTAACACCCTGCTTTTGTATTTGCTGTGGCTTATTGCAGTAGAACAGCTAAAATACAGTTGTGTCTGTGTCTGTGTGTGTCTATGTGTGTCAGGGAGAGAATTCTGGTTCAGTTCCCTTTATATCTAAATATCATATTAAGATGCATCAGTTTGGAGTCTTTGGATAATCTAAAAATGCCAAAACCTTGTTACTTTTTAATTAAAACTTAAAAAAAAAAAAATTCATAGCTGTTACAAACATTGAACAGTATGTCTCTAGTGTTGACTAACTTCTACACAACTCCTGCACTAATGGAACAATAAAATATATAAGCTCCACACCCATGCAGTACTGCAATACTGCATAATGCAATACTGTTTCCCAAAACAGGTACAGAATCACTGTATATTCAGTTTACCTTAAGCAGCAGAGCCAGGCAATAGATGCAACTGCTTATTTCCCTCCCCAATGAGTATTTTGCAGCAAAAACACTCAATGTTTCTAGTAAACAGTAGACAGCACTCTTTATGTATTATGTAGCTTACATACAAACTGTGTACACATAAAACATAATCATTTACTTACATATGTCACATGGAAGTTGTTGTAAACCTCCATTTTACCACAAGAAGTTCATACAGACTTGACTATGGAGATGCCATTCAAAGTATACATCTCAATTCATTATGAAGTTAAAATGAATAAACCTAACTGTACTTATCTGTATCAAATGAAACATCAAGACTCGTGTGATAGACTGGGAAGGTGACTGCAAACACTGTAGGCCACAGCTGCAGGACAAGAGGTCATCAACCTCATTACTCTCAGGGATTATCCCCAGTGCAAAACATAACCAGAACTAAAAGTATATATTCAGTGTGTAAATGTTTACTTATGAATTAGTTTTAACATTATCGCATATGGTAAATAACCACTATTATAAATAGGAAAATATTGGCAAAATCTAACCAAGGATCTCGACTTAAAGACAATGTTAAATATCAGGTCTGATATGTTTTGGTCTGTTTAATGATTCTTGTTAATCCTGTTTTGAAATTGTGACACTGACTACAGCACCAATAAACAATCCTAATATATATTTTATCTCCTCTTTGTAAAGCAGAATAGCTGACAGTCTATGTCTGCATGAACTTAAATATATTTTCTGCCCAAGCACCTGAAACAATCAATCAGCAAGGGAAACCAGGTCTGTTCTGGGGATACTGGATACTGTAAAACTGCCTATTCCATTATCCACATCTACAGAATGACTGATTCCTGTAGCAATTTTTGCCAGCCTCATTCTCGTCCTTGTTCTGGCTGGTGATCTGGCTTCTGTGAAGAATTGGCTGCATCTGTCACCAGTGACAGAGAAGCAGTGCATCACAAAGACCATGGAGAAGAGCAGAACAGCCAGAAGCCCCAGCGAGATCCAGACTGCCGTGCTCCATGAAGGATTGGTCAGGCTCTTCTCCTGGGTCTGTATCATTCATCAGTAGAATAACATTGTGTTCAGTGTTTTATTTCATTTACTCAGTCAATCTTTAAGGAAGAATACATTTTTATTCCTTTTCCACACACAGCTGTACCTACTGTTGCTCCTGGATCAAAGCTCTGTACTGTAGCGGAGTCAGTGTTAGCTGGATGTCACCATGGGGGAGAAATACTTCCATGTGTACTAATACAATCAACATGGAGATAAAGATTTAAAGGAGATACTGTGATTAAGAAATCTGTTAAATGCAGTTATGAATATTTTCAAATTAAAGCAAACAGACGACCTTAGCTTTTCTGAAGTTTCCCATATTAACACACGAGTTCTACGTTATTAATCAACATGGGTTTGCATTGGGAATAGCTATCACCACTGTATAGGGCCCCATCCTCCATCAATTATTTTATAACTGTCAGTGATATCTAAATTCTATATCACAAATTTCACCACTTATTGAATACTAATCCTTGTGTAATATTTTAGGAACTTTCATCATATTATGGAGCAGAGTACTGTGTTTGAAACGTGTTCATTTATAAATATCCAGCTAATGAAATGATCAGCTACAACTGCAATAACTTGAATATGAAACGGGCTCATTGAGACATACTTTTCTGCACCAATAAATTCAGGCCACTTCAATGTTTTCCAGAAGGGTGATAAGCATGAGCGGCAGTGTGGTGGAGTTTTCATCGATTAAGTACAGAAGGTAGCTGCTGGCCTGCTGCACAAAGAACAGGCTAATGATGGAGCATTAGCAGGCAGAACATCATTGGTCAAACAAGGAGAGAAAAGACACACAAAGGAAGGATACAACAATCATCCATCCATCCATTTTATACATCCAACTGTCCTATTCAGGGTCTCTTTAAACTTGATTACATTTTTTTAAAAATCATAATCTATGTACAACCAGTTTTGTGAGAAAGCAGTTAAACATTTTCACATAATGAAATGTGGAAAAATAGACACTGGAGCTGGACACAAACTGGAATGGAAACTCAAATGTCAAACAATGCACCAAGAAACTGTAACCTAAGATAAAATTTTCTGGCAACAAAGTATCTGTACATGAGCATACTAGTGAGGTTGAATTTGCTGTTGATGGTGAATATTAAACTGGTATTTATCAAAAGAAAAAGGTTAGAGACTAACCTCATGAAACTGCATATTAAATTTGACAACGAAGCTGAAGACTCTGGTAAGAGCAAAGGGGGGCGAGGGGGGCGAACTCTGCATTTACATTCGTAACAACCAGTGTACTGATACCATAATCTTAGACAAACACTGTTCTTATCTTTAAGAGTACCTGGCGGTTAAATGCAGGCCTTTTTACCTTCTGCGGTTAAATGCAGGCCTTTTTACCTTCTGCGGTTAAATGCAGGCCTTTTTACCTTCTGCGGTTAAATGCAGGCCTTTTTACCATCTACATGAGTTTACTGTTGTTATAGTCACAGCTGTTTACATTCCACTGGACACCAGTGCTAGCCCAGCTTCAGGTTACCTATTCTGCGCTATAAAGTCATAACAGAACACCTATCCAGAAGCAGCTCATGTCATTGCTGGTGACTTTAACTACACAGATTTAAAAGGAGTTCTCCCTAAATTTCATCAAAATATCAATTGTGTTACCAGGGGGAGAAATACAATAGATAAAGTTTAGTCAAACATCAACCACAGATTCAGATCAACACCATTCACAGCTGTAAATCCACTAAAAGCTGCTGGCCCAGATGATGTGACATTACGGTAGTGTTGTAGTCAAGACCGCCTAAACCGAGACCAAGACATTGCCGAGACCGGAGGGTATCAAGACCAAGACCAAGAGAAGTCCAAGACCAAGACACACTAAGGCGAGACCAAGAATAAGACTGGTCGAGACCAAGACCAAGACCAAGACCAAGACCGAAAACAGACTAGGGCTAGAATCGACATCACATTACCCAGATCAACTGTAGAGAAAAAAGGCATTGCTGTAAAGTGTCATTACTCGGTAAATCAAATTCATGTTATCTTTTCAATTATATTGTCCGTATGTCCATACAGTATGTCTCTCATTTAAAATCTCCCAGATTTGTCATAGTTACGAGACCTGATGGAAAATAATATTCTCAGCAATCCTCTCCTATAAT